GTACTGAATATTTTTTACTGATTGCCTGGGAAGTCAGCTTCCCAGGCAATCAGGAAGTCGGGCTGCGGGTAAGCTTCCTGATTGCCGCCCAGCTTCCTGATTGCCTGATAAGCCAGGTCAATGTTTGGCGGCTCGATTGGCCTGGAAACCGGCTTTCCAGCCAATTACAATCAGCATGGATTCGGCTTCCCTGCCAATCAGGAAGCCGGGCGGCGAATAATTAGTATTACTATTATACAGGATTTATATAGCGCCAACATTTATATACAGGATTTATATAGCGCAGCGCTTTACAATATAGGGAAGACATTACAATCACAATACAATTCAAGACGAGATGGTAAGGAGGGCCCTGCCCCTGAGGGCTTACAATCTAAAGGATGATTATCCCAGCCAATTAGCATGGAGTCAGCTTCCCGGCCAATCAGGAAGCCGGGTCATTACTCGCCGCCCAGGTTCCTGATTGCCCGGTAAGCCAACTCCATGTTCCCCTACGGCACTGATGGTCAGAGGAAGTCTTCCTCTGACAGGAAGTTCCTGTATCGGGGGAAGGTATCGGAGCATTTGGTGAGTGAGAGTACACACCCAAATACTCCATATCGGCACCGATACTAGTATCGGTGCATCCCTAATAGATACCAAACATGTCACACTTCAAAATTGCAGTTTCCTGTGCAATCGCAAAAAACTATATAGAAGTGCCTAGAACCCATAGAATTTTTTCCCCTCATCTGCTGCAGAGTAATCATGCTTGCTAACTGTGAGCGTTGCCTACACAGTACTTGCTGTGTGCTCACTGCCTTTCGTGCCTTGCACAAATTTACTTGTCTTACAATTTTTTTTTTTTAAATGGTACTGCTAAGGCCCAATTAACTTTTCTAAATTTTCCCTATATAGCAAATATTCAATTTTTGAGTTCAGTTCCACTTTATTGGTCTGGCCAATAAAAATGTTGTATTGCTTCCACTGAAAAACTGAACCCTGAAAATATTAAAAAGAGGTGTAAAACAGGTGTATAATCAATTAGGAAAATGCAGTACTGCAGGTCATACATTACAAGCAGCATTATACAAATATTACAATATTTCACTAAAGGATTCCAAGAAAATTATTTCCTCACTTTCACCTCACAAAGTAATATATGAAAAAAATGATTTCACAATCATGACTAAGCTTTTTTTTTAGAATGTGGTGCTAAAGTCATCCCTTTCCTGTAATCATGTTGGAAAACAGTTTTTTCTTACTTACCTCTTATAACAGCATTCACTGCACTATATAAAGGCAATGCTGAATGCATGAAAAATAAGTTCTGATGAGATCACTACTCATTCCACAAATTGTCCTGCTCCTGCACAGCCAACAAAAGCTGCAGATTCGCAGTTCAGGTGCTGGGGAGTAGGCAGTTGCATTGGGACTGCAGTTTGAATGCAACATATATTTACCAAGTATAACAAGCCTGAATAATTAATAGAATAAATCTGGAAGAGTAGAATCTAAGACAAAATGCAATGACAAGGGAAAGAAAGAGGACAGTGGGACTTGTCTTCCTTAAAAAAAAAATAATAATAATAATAATAAAGAGGACAAGGATATGTTGCTGTTATGCTGTAATTATCCTACTATGTTCTATGTGGTAAAGCATACAAGTTGCAGAATGGGGAAGCTGAATCGGTCATAAAGGTTAAAAGTAGCTGGGGAAATGTTTATTTTAGGAGGACCATCCATTTACATTTAAAGGCATAAGCAGAAAATATCTGCTGATGACGAAAGTAAAAAATCAGCATAATCATTACATGCAATATAGACTTACCAATCATTTCTCCTTGCTCATGAACCATCATACCCAAGTCTTTAAATATTTCATTTATTCCTCTAATATCTTCCTGTCAGAAATAAATACACAAATGTTTCAGTACATTATATATGAATTACTTGCTAAATGGTGGTGATCCTACCTACACAACATTACATTGTATAGAATCAGAAAAAGTCTCTATTGGCACAGTTTCCTACCTGGTCTCAGGTATTACCAGGAACCTGTCAGAATAGACACGAGATAAGTGAATTAGGCATTGAAGCACCACACCATAATATTCACGTCCAAATACACATTTATTCCAATGGTAAATGTTTGCAAGCCAACATGTTTGGGGAGCCGTACCTCCACCCCCTTCATTCCTCTGTCAACAGTTGGTTCTAGCAGCCACCTGCCTAAACTAGCTGCTGATGGATTGCTGTGCAAACCCACTTCTAAAACATCTAAACTATGAATTAATCATTGAGTCCATATACGCTGCTTATTTTTTCCCAAGCCCTGATGAAGGGGGTGAAGGTATAGACCCAGAACACATTGGCTTTGCATAAAAAAAAAATAATAATAATAATAATAAAGAGGACAAGGATATGTTGCTGTTATGCTGTAATTATCCTACTATGTTCTATGTGGTAAAGCATACAAGTTGCAGAATGGGGAAGCTGAATCGGTCATAAAGGTTAAAAGTAGCTGGGGAAATGTTTATTTTAGGAGGACCATCCATTTACATTTAAAGGCATAAGCAGAAAATATCTGCTGATGACGAAAGTAAAAAATCAGCATAATCATTACATGCAATATAGACTTACCAATCATTTCTCCTTGCTCATGAACCATCATACCCAAGTCTTTAAATATTTCATTTATTCCTCTAATATCTTCCTGTCAGAAATAAATACACAAATGTTTCAGTACATTATATATGAATTACTTGCTAAATGGTGGTGATCCTACCTACACAACATTACATTGTATAGAATCAGAAAAAGTCTCTATTGGCACAGTTTCCTACCTGGTCTCAGGTATTACCAGGAACCTGTCAGAATAGACACGAGATAAGTGAATTAGGCATTGAAGCACCACACCATAATATTCACGTCCAAATACACATTTATTCCAATGGTAAATGTTTGCAAGCCAACATGTTTGGGGAGCCGTACCTCCACCCCCTTCATTCCTCTGTCAACAGTTGGTTCTAGCAGCCACCTGCCTAAACTAGCTGCTGATGGATTGCTGTGCAAACCCACTTCTAAAACATCTAAACTATGAATTAATCATTGAGTCCATATACGCTGCTTATTTTTTCCCAAGCCCTGATGAAGGGGGTGAAGGTATAGACCCAGAACACATTGGCTTTGCAAACATTTTATCATTGGAATAAACCTGTATTTGGGCTTGAATTTTTCTGTGTGGTGCTTCAATTACCAGTTCACTCATTTATCACAACCCAAGGTGATGATGGAAGCCATATGTTAAGTAGAAGCTGCTCAAATATTTAGATTCTCTACATTTACACTATAACTGTAATATTGGATGTCATCAATAATATAAAGTAAACATATAAGAATCTTCAGGGTTCTAGTGCATCTTACCAACTTTCCTAAGGAGAGACATATGGGCACTGCCATCGCTCATTTGTTTTTGAGGGGACGGGCTCTAGGAAGATCAGCCTTGTCCTTCCCTCACCACCTGCTGACTCAATGACCTATGTCACTCGTTTCAGTTTACTGACTAACCAGATATTGAAGCCAGGATCTAGTACACAGCCACAGACCAATGGCAGCGCCCGTAAATCTATTCAGGCAGGTTGCCTTTAAGCAATTCTTCATACTCAAGAGATAACCCACAGTTTTGCCTAAATGAAGGATAAGGATAGGCAAGGATAAACATTACATAGCATTATCATAATATTAATATCTCAAATAATATTCTTCCTTATGTCTAACAAAAGCGTATGACAGAATCTATACTTGTAATCTGGACACACTACAGTACTATGGGCACACCAACTTTTCTGTCTCAATCACAGGTCATAGGGCCTCCAATAGAATAATGACCCAAAACACACAGCTAAAAGCATCCAAGAAAGGTCTACAAAGAAACATTGGACTATTCTGAAGGGGGCTCTATGAGCCCTAACCTGAACCCTACTGAATCTCTATAGAAAGAGAGGAAGCATGTAGCCTGGAGAAGACACCCTGTAAACCTGAGAGAGCAGGAGAAGTTTGCTTAAGAAGGTTGGGCCATATTACCCATTGGTAGGTGCAGAAATGTCTCAATGAAAGCTACAGAATCTGCTTGTTTGCAGTGATTGCCTCTAAAGGTTTTGCTACAAAATATAAGGTTATTATGTCCATGCCATTTTAATTTATTTTATTGTTTAAAATGCTGTATTATGTTAAATCAGCATTCAAAAGCAAAGTCTGTTTTTTATTAAATATGGAATGCCAATTTATTTTGTTAGTATCAAGTAATTTAAGAGAAAATTGCAAGGAAATTTTGAATCATAAAAGATAGAGCTAATGGAGATTTAGGAAGAGTAGCATAAATCTACTGACTTAATGAAAACAATACTCCCTGATTGGCTTACATCTTACCTCAATAATTAACCACCTCCCATTCATGGCCATTCCTGAATGGCTGGACGGGAGCCTTATAGGAGCGGGAGGGCGTCTTAAGACGTCTTGCCCCTTCCCCCGCTCATGCGCGGCGCCCACACGAGTGGGGAAACTGTCAGCATGTAAACAGCCAGTGATGGCTGTTTACATTCAAGCGATCGGGCGTCTCTATAGACGCCCGATCGCTTGTACTAGCTGCGGGTGTGCGCCCTCCTGCTACATCAGCTTCTCTGGGGGTCCCAAGGTGACATTAGGGGTCTTATAGACCCCTGATATCTCCATAAAGAGGACCTGTTATTTGAATTGGCTATCACTTTATCAATAAAGTTAAGTGTACCAAACAAAAAAGTTTTAAAAAAATTAAGCAAAAAACAGTCACAAATAAAAAAAAAAAGTAAAACAACACAATTTTTTTTTTTAAAGTCCCCCGCCCCCCCATATACAAACATGCGTCGGGTGTACCAGCGTGCGAAAACGACGATTCCGCCTATTGTGCCGCATATGTTACATATCGCTGCGAACGTCAGAGTGGGAGCAATAATTTTAGGGCCATTAGTTACTGATAACATTAAACAGATGAGAGGTAAAAGCTTTTAAAGCGTCGCCCATATCCAATTTGGGGTGTGGTAGTTTTCTGCGATTTCGCGGGCGTGTGCGTAATTTTAAAGCTTAACATGTTTGGTGTCTATTTACCCGACGTGACCCCGTCTTTTATATTTTACTAAAAAATTGGAGTGATAATAAATGTTTCATAACAATTGATACATAACAATTGTTATATAGTAAAAAATAAAAACCCAGTGGTGATTAAATACCAGCAAAATAAAGCTCTATCTGTTCCCGCAAAAATTGTATAAAATTTGTTTCAGTACAGCATTGCATGACGGAATAAATGTCAAAGTACTGCAGCGCTAAATACTGAAAAATCGCCTGGCCAGGAAGGGGGTGTAACACCATGGTCTTCAAGTGGTTAAACATCATGGCTAGCGCTACATGTGCAATCTTCAGTCTCAGAGAATGAATAAATCTCCTCATGTAAAAAAATGGATTTTTGTACTTACCGTGAAATCCTTTTCTCTGTGTTCATTGAAGGGTACAGTGAAAAGCAGCAGAACTTTACAATGGTCAAGATCTACTGATCTTCACTATGCCATTCAATGGATGGACCAAAAACTACTCTTGTGCTACTGTAGAACATTTTTGGGTGATTGATAGATTTCATGAGATGAATTCAACATGGTATACCTGAATCGGAAAAAATTGCCCAAGAATCTCCAAAAAGTGCAATTGTTGAGCGATTAATTCCTATTCAAGTCTATGGAGAAGAGTGGAGATGAATAATTAATGGTTTTGGCTATGGCAGTGTACAATCACTGCAGATCAATCGCTTAATCGCATTACTAACAATATTTTATGTAGCAACTCACATTAAAAGCATTGTGACACAAAGCCTGTGTGTGATGTTGTGATTCGGGCACATAGGAATGCTTTGCAGTGAGGTTATTATCCGTGATGATTGATACATATACAGTGGGGCAAAAAAGTATTTAGTCAGCCACCAATTGTGCAAGTTCTCCCACTTAAAAAGATGAGAGAGGCCTGTAATTGGCATTATATTCTTTATGTATTTTCTGGTGCTAGCAGTACGCTTATTTCCTACCATCTTTTTCCTGCTTTGGATTTTCTATGCATGTTTTTTTTTTGGTGGATGGAGCAGCCACCTAATTAAAGTGAGTCGGCATCATTTATCTGTAATTTTAATTAACTTGCTTCCTTTTTCTGTTTATCTAGTAGCTACTTGCTGTCCAGAGCAAATTTTTTATTTTTGCACACGCATGATAAGAAAAACATCTTAAAACCCCCTCCAAACAATTATATATTTTTTGAAAGCAGGGGCCCTGTAGAATAGTTGCAATTTTGTATTTTTTGCACGATACTTGCGCAAATGTTTATCAAACCAGTATTTTTAGGATAAAATACACAAATGAAATTTAGTGCATGGAAACAGAATAGAATACCCATTATTTTGGTGAAATCTAAAAAAGATGAGGTTGTGTTTGGCAGATACCAAACATGTCAAGCTTCAAAATTGCATGTGCCCGTGACATGGTAAAAGACGAAAATACCCAAAAATGCCCACAGGCAACTCTTAAATGCTTCTACCACTCATCACGGTAGCATGTAATGTATGTCTCAATCGTCGGCGCACCCGACGCATGTTTGCATTTGTATGTGGGTGTACATGGGGGCAGGGACTTTAAAACATTTTATATATAACTTTTTAATCTTTTTTAAACCCCTTAAGGACCCTTTCGCTGCCAAGGCCTTTGCTTTTCGTTTTTTTGCACACATTATAATCCACATTTTAGGCCTGAAAATTACTTAAAACCCGCAAACATTGTATATTTTCTGAAAGCCAAGAATAAAATAGTTGCAAATTTTTATGCTGCATGATATTAGCGCAACTCTTAATCAAACTAGATTTCTAGAAAGGCTTTTAATGTTTTTGACACAATATAATACCTATTGTTTTGTAAAATATAAAAGATGAGGTTACAAGGAGTGCATAGATATGCAACATGCCCAGGTTAAAAATTGTGTGCGTCTGTGAAACTGCAACAAAATTCAGTACCCCAAAAAGTCCATGCCCCCCACAGCGTAGTCTATAGACTTTTTGGGGTACATGTGCCACACTTCCTGGCACCATACAAGCAATCGGGCAGCTCTATAGCTGCCAGATCGCTTGAATGTAAATGACTATCGGCGGCTTTTTAAAACAGTAGAAATACTACAGCAGCCGTGATCTTGGTATAACTGCTTCAGGACGCTGCCGTTTATTCACATATGGCAGTCCTGAAGAAAACACTGTAAAAATAGCTCAAAATATGTTCTTTAACTGTACTACTTTATACTTGCCCTTTTATAAACACACCTCAAGTATTGCATCACTACTAAATAATATGCCTTTTAATTGAGATATTCTTTTTTTTTTGTGACAGAAAATCTCTGCTGGATGATTACTTTGTTGCTATTGTTTCACATATTTTGTGGAATTTTAGGACTTTTTTTGTCAGCACATTTTTTATTGGTTCCTCAAAAAACAAAAAAAACAATCAAATAAAAAAAAATAAACACACCTCAAGTTGAAGTATTGTGGATTCCCGCTCTTCTATCAGCCTCATGTCATCTTCTGTAATGTCATCTTCTTGCATTACCTGGGATTGGCTCTCACTGTAAAACATCATCATGTGTTAGTTATTGTATTGATATGTAGTGACATGTTGTTCACAAATCTATCTCCAGAGTTCTGACTGTGATCAACCAGACACAAATAGAAAACGAGGAAATTTTACAAAAGGCAAGAAGTACAAGCCTTTGAATTTGAGGCCAAAGGACACCAGGGCTTTCAGGCGTAGGCTGAATGAGCATGAGGAGTCTTTGAGGACTACTAAAAAGCAGCAAAAAATGAACTTCTGTACAATACGTGCAAGTTTGCAGTCCATGCAAAGGATTCATGTGTTAAAGAAGAACTCCGTGTTCTTAACCCTTGCAGTGGGGCTACCATCGCAACGAAAAGGGATTAAGTGCTCATTTTTGTCTAGGTGCTAAAAAAAAGTTATACTCACCCAATCTTCAGAGCCAGCTTGCTCTTAGACTGGTCCATGGTGCCTCTCTCCTCCTTGACTGCAGCAGTCTAAGGATCTTTGAGTCATCACGTCCTATAGAGTATATAGGATGTTAGGACGCCAATGGACACACCATCGTTGCAGCGGAGAAGAGAGTAGCAGCCAGCTGGCTCTGCCATTTATAACTTTTTTTAAGTAGAAAAAAACAAACACTTAACCCTTGGAATGCAGGCGTAGCCCCACTGCTAAGGTTAAGAACACTTTTGCCCAGAGTTCTACTTTAAATGAAATGTGTTCAGCAAAAGAAAAAGCCTGATAGACAGTCTAAACTTTTTCAAATCTGCTCAAAACCATTAAAAATGACTTTTCCATTTAAAACTGTAGCTGCTGTAATTTTCTAAATCTATCAAACCAATACAATGCTAAGATACAAGTATAATTTTTGGAATACCTTGTAATAGGGTAATTTTTGGTGAGATACTCCCTAAGGGTTAATTACTACTAAAAAGGAATGCCGAGACTGCACCTTTCCTTATTAAAAGGCAGGAAAGCCCATCAGCTGGTTATAATGTACTCAGACCCTCCCATTCATGGATCAGTTTGGAAGGGACCTGCTGCAAGAAAGATTAATTTTCTCAGAAACACGGAGGCAACAAAGTTGGCTAAAATCCTTGCAATGTACACAGATCACCCAGCGAGGATTGATTTTTTTTCTCATCAAAAGTGGAATTACTCTTTAACCACCTCCTGTCCGCTGAACGTTCAGAAATGGCCGGACAGGAGTTTCCTGGATGCGAGTGGGCATCTTTAAATGTCCTTCACGCGCACCCCCGACGCGTACAAGCGGGAAACCACCAGAATTTGAAACAGCCAGCGATGGCCATTTACATACAAGCGGTCCAGCATCGCGCCCCCCCACCCCCTTACCTCTCCTTATGGTCGCCGTCCCCACAATCCCGGGCGTCTGATTCGGGATGGGCGATGTGGCTCCGTGCACTGAGAACGGAGGGAGCTCAGTACACGATCTCCCTCCGCTCTCTTCAATGCAGGAAGTGATGTTTACTACATCACTTCCACATTCCTCTGTCACTCTTCGGTACAGAACCCGGAGAGAAGCTGATGAAGCAGTTCTGTGCTTCATCAGCTTCTCTGGGGGTCCCTAGGTGACATTAGGGAGGGTCGCAGTGAGAGCAATAACTCTAGGGTCATCAATCACTGTTAACAATAAACTGATGAGCAAAATCTTTTAAAGGGTCACATATGGCCAATTTTGGGTGTGGTAGTTTTTTTTGCGATTTTGCGGGCGTGCACAATTTTAAGGCTCCACATGTTTGATGTCTATTTACCCAACGTGACCCCGTCTTTTATATTTTACCAAAAGAATTGTGTAATAACAAATGTTTCCTAACATAATAAAGGGAAAACAGTTTTTGTTTTTGTTTTATTTCAGTACTGTTTTCATTATGTAGTAAAAAAAAATAAAAACCCCAGTGGTGATTATATACCACCAAAAGAAAGCTCTATCTGTCCCCAAAAAATGGTAGACAGGAAGGGGGTGTAAACACCGCGGTCAGCAAGTGGTTAAGGCCTGAACCCAGCTTTGCAACTTTGACATGTGTTAGTAAAAGTGTACATATCTCTGCAATTACTTAGTGTATTGAGGTGAGTTATACCTTATTTTTTCAGGACAAATTGAGCCTCCTTCTCCTCCATAGGGGAGGCATCTATTACTAGTGATCACTGTGACTGGCTATCACAGTGATCACATGTTCAAAACCAGGTGCTGTGGATGGCAGTCTGATCTGCATGCTGGAGGGTGCAATTAAGCACACTTCCAGCACAAGCACATTCTGCACAAATGCGGCCCCTCAAAAGAAAGTCTGCTTCCATGAAGCTGCATATATGTGTTAAGCCATTGTAAAAGGGTTAAGAGCTGCACATTAAAGATTTTTCTCTCTCTTACTTATTCCAGTTGACCAGTGCTCCATCTCTGAGGCCATCCTCTGCTCCACCACCCTACAGTGACAAAAAAAGAAAAGGAGAAACATTTGTATTAATATAGGAGGCAAGAAACTTCAGTTGTAAAAATCAACAACACACTACCAACATGTTTATTCTGAAAGTAATTGGTTGCTATAAAAATAAAGCCAGATTTCAAAACCGTAGAAATAAAAATACATTTTTTTTGAAAAAGCAATTTCAGATAAAAGGTGAAAGCAAACAATATAATAATCCAATCATTGATCCAGAGGAAGGCAAAACCCCTATAAAGCATGATTCAATTTGCTCCAACAGGGGAGAAAAACTATTTTCCTGATCCCATAAGGCAATCGGATATTCCCTGGATCAAAAATATCTGGTGTTTTTTTTACTTATAAAAAGTTAATATCTAGTAATATTCTGTCCATTCAGGAGTGTGCATTTTTTTTAAACAGTTAACGGAGCTAGCTAGAACTAGCTCCTGGGGGGGGGGGGGGGTTTTTCCAATTTTTTTCAACCTATCCATTTGTGAAGGTTAAATCTCTTTTCCTCCGGATGCAAAGAGTGCCCCCTTGTCCTTTGCAGTGACCTTAAAGTGAATAATTTGGCACCAAGCTCACTATATGGACCATTTATGTATTTATGCATGGTGATCATGTCCCCCTTAATCGCCTCTTCTCCAGAGAGAACAAATTCAGGTCAGATAATCTTTCCTCATAACTGAGCTCCTCCATGCCTCTTATCAGTTTAGTTGCCCTTCTCTGCACTCTCTCCAGTTCCACAACATCCTTTTTTTGAACTGGTGCCCAAAACTGAACTGCATATTCCAGATGAGGTCTTACTAATGCTTTGTACAGGGGCAGGATTATGTCTCTCTCTCAAGTCTAGACCACTTCTAATACAAGAAAGTATTTTGCTTGCTTTAGAAACTGCGGCTTGACATTGCATGCTATTTTCAGTCTATGATCTACCAGAACACCCATATCTTTCTCCATCACTGACTCCCCCTAGAGTGTATGACGCATGCATGTTTTTATTCCCCAAGTGCATAACTTTACTTGTATCACCATTAAACTTAATTTGCCAAATAGTTGCCTAATCACACAGTGTATTAGGATCGGCTTGTAAGTTTGAAACATCTTTTAAGGACTATATTCCACTACATAACTTGGTGTCATTTGCAAACACAGAAATAGTACTTTTAATCCCAAACTCCATATAATTTATAAATAGATTAAACAGTACGGGGCCCAACACTGAACCTTTGCGAACACCACTTAACCTCAGAACATTCAGAGTAGGGATGTTCAGATACCAGTGCTGATACTTGGCATTTTCACGAGAACTACCAGGGTTGCAGCAGTTGCAGCTGGGACCTGGCTCTGGTGCTCCATCACTGTCCTGAAATCATTAGTCTGTATTATTTTAGAAAAACTGTCACATGGCACTAATCAAAAATGTATCAGTAATTGGTATCTGTGAGTACTTGGACAAGTATCAGTACTTTCACTTGGTTAGAAATAAATGGTATTGGTGCATCCCTAATAATATATACGTCAATTGGTATCTGAACATCCCTAATTCAGGATTATACATCATTATTCACCACTCTCGGAATACGATCTTTAAGCCAGTTATCTATCCAATTACAGAATGAATATTCTAAACCTACTGACCCTAACTTATAGATTAGCCACCTGTAGTCAACTGTCAAATGCTTTTGTAAAGTCCAAGTATACTTTATCCACAGCCATTCCATTGTCTAGTTTATTGCTTACAACTTCTCTCTTTTGTCAATCCATGCTATCACTTATAATATTATTCTCTAGCAAAAAGGTGTGTATGTGATCCTTAACACTTTCACTGGCATCGACGTATGGCATATGGTGGAACACAACTGCTTGCAACTGGCCACCTAAGTAAGCCTTACGTCGGTGGCTTTTACCCTTCTGCTATAAGCTCACGGTCGCTTTAGCGACCATTAACTTATAGCAGAAGGGTTCTCCTGACTCTCCCCTGTAAAATAATAGCTATCATCAACGGCTGAGAAGCCGATGACAGCTATTAAGAAAAATCCCGGGATGCCACTGGCATCTGTCATCTCCTCTCTGCCTGGAGCACTCCATGCTTCTCCTCGGATGCCCGCTGCTCCTCCCTACCTGTATGAGCTGAACAGAAATGGATGGCTGCAGCCGGCAGGGGGGGCTCGGCTATGTGTCCCCAGTTATGAATGAACAGGAAGTGCTTTAGATCACTTCCTGTTCATTCATGAGTTTCTCAATGGGGAGAAGCACTCACTATAGAGGCTTCTACCCATTCAGAAACTGTTTGATCGTAAAATATTTTACGATCACTAGTTTCTGAATAAATGGGAAGCTTCTGTACTGAGAGCTTTCCATTCATTTAGAACAGTCTGCAAAAAAAGAGATTGAGGATTCTGTGTCCCCAATTTCTTTTTCTATTTAAAAAAGGTTTAGACCCCTGATATTTCACCAAATCCCCAACAGTAAAAAAAAAAAATAATAATAACTACCATCAGTGTGCACCATATTGTGGTGCACACCATGCACATGTGCTGCAGTGCATTGTTAAAATGCATCGCAGTGCTTGACTCATTTTCTTTTTAAAATAATATTAATTTAACTGTGGCAGCACATGGCAAAGCGTTATGACGCATTGCCGTGCGTTGTGATATGCTGTGTTGCAATTAGATGTACGCCTGTATCGTTTTATCACAACACACACACAGCACAAAGTTTAACATAAGTTGCTTATTTACAGTTTTGCGTTACTTCATTTTTTTACAGTTTCACAAAAAAGGAGCAATTTAAAATTTACCAATATTTGTTATTTATTAACTCAATACAGTTTTATCTTTTAGATTTAGTCAGAAAGCCGTGTTCTTGTTTTAACCACTACTGCGGGCCGCTGTCTATAGACGTATTGCGGCCCAGAAAGGTTACACATAAAGGGCAGAGCAGGACAAACCTTTAATGACAAAACAATATCTGGGCAACACTGCTTTATCACTTTTGAACACGGATGATCATCAGCTGAAAGTTGATGTATTTGGCTCTTAGGAGCCTTCTCATATCTTTCAGTAAGAGTCTGATCACTAGCAGAGAGTGCATGAAAATTGGCACACCCGGTTATTAAAAGTCTATGCACATTGGAGCCTGAACAGGCACAGAAGAAACCATTACAATAAATATAGGCACATAAAATCTATGATCCTGGAAGGCTCACAAAAAACAGGTTTTGGACTGTGTACAACAAATCCCATCTATCAGCCAGGTAAACACTATACCTCCGATGTTTAACTTACAGATACTCTGGAACCTGCTCGGACTCTGGCCACAAAGTCTTTCTCCTTCTCTGCAGCTTGTCTCTGAATTTTCTGAAAGTTTGTCAGTGAAGAGGAGAACTCATTCAAGAGTCTGTCTTTCTGCAGTTTTCTCTGTCTCTGTCAAACATAAAGCACATATTTTATTGAGATCATGTAAAGGCAATAAAAATATAAACCAGAAACACTAGTTGACAAAACATTTTCATCTATCTATCCAACTCCCACTACCTTTTATTCAGCTTAAAAGTCTAATTTGCACTATTTGCAGACACTTTCATTTCTCTGCACCTGAGCAATGCAGGTCTCTGAAAGGGCACATATAATACAATTGTTCTCTATGAGCCCAATTCACAACACAATGGAATGAAAAAGAACCAGAGGAGAGAGGTGCGCAAAAATGCAGCTAAAATGTATTCTATCCTCTACTGTGGTACATAGAAATTAATTAAATTTCACTTTGTGACATTTCAATAAAGAAAAGAAGGAAAAAAAAAAAAAAAAAAGGAAAACCGTGCCTATGTTAAAAAGCAAGCACTGCTTCCCACCACCAGCACACACAGACAGCAGCCCGTACGCTAAACCAGATCATTTTAGCTTGTGGGCTGGTGTGAACAAGGCCTTAAGCACAGGAGCACATCATATTCTTAATAAAATTGCAGTCATCTCATAATCAAGCCTGTTACCAGTGATATTCATGCTACATCATTATACACAGGAACAACGGAGAGAGATTTTTGTTTTCTGACAATATTTATTACACACGAAATATGTAACAGTACCTACTATGATTGTAGAAGCATTTATGGTATTGGTATAAGCAAAGAACTCCATTAGATCAAATCCCTAGAATATCCTTTAAACTCAGTTCTTAGCTATAATCCCCCTATTTCAAGTCAGGGACAGACGTGAGAAAAACATACTTTTTTACAGCCAAAGTTTATTGACAAAACACCCAGCGAGGAGACGATCCTGAATACATTTTTAAAGAAGAGCTCCGGGCAAACTTATTTTTAACCCTTGCAGTGAGCCTACCCCCACACTGCAAGGGTTAAGTGCTCATTTTTGTCTAGGGCAAAAATAAAGTTTGTTATTCTCACTCGATCCTCGGAGCCGGCTTATTGTTAGACCAGCCCATGGAGACCCTCTCCCTCTTTGCTGCAGCATTCTAAGGTTTCCAAATCATCATATTCTATACATTGGGTATAGGACACGGGGCTGCCGAGGGACATACCATTGCAGCAGCGGAGGGAGAGACAAGTTAGGAGCCCTTTAACAGCTGGCCGGCTCCAAGGTTTGGGTATTACTTATTTATTTTTAGCTCCTAGACACAAATGAGTAGTTAATCCTTGCAGTGCGGGAGTGGCCCCACCGCAAGGGTAAGGAAAATTTGTTTTTTTTCTATAAAAGTTACATTTAACCTTAGAAGCGTCCATATGCATTGGTTAACAATACTACAACTCTGGTTAATTTGCCTACCCTAAAATATTTACACTACATTTAAGGACATCTAATCTCTTTTATTGTTTAAAAAAAAATAGGGTTTGATTATTTTTATCACAGCTGACAAATGGACAAAAAAAATTTGAAAAAATTGCATTGTCACATTAACAGCTTAAAACAATTTTTAATTTATAATTTTTCTACAGGTGAATTATTACTTTAATAGCCAGAACTAGTCAACTGCCCTCTTTCTACAAGAGGCACAATAAAAAGTGAAACGGCTTGTTTATAAAGCTGCCATGTGACATAGTCATCACATGATCAGGAACCCTGCCGATCTGTTCTCATCTGCTGCATACAACAGCTACTATTGGACCTTTATTCAAATTTTTGTCACAGGGCATCTTGCAGATCAAAATATAAGGATTGCAGATGGGAAGGGGTTTATCACAGATGTATATTTTTTGCTTTAAGTAGAAGCTTTGTGACCTATCAGATTATTATTAAATTCCATTAAAAAAAGAAATTCAGGTTTTAACACCTGCAACTTTTCTCTCCGAATAAATTTATCACTTGCAATCATATGAGCAAAGTCGCTTCTTGCCTACAGGGCTTGATACCGTGACTTGAAGAACCAGGTTATATAGAGGCATTGTAAAAACGTTGCCTCTATATAAACCATCAAAGCTAAAATACATTAAGAGTTGCTTATGGTAAACAGGTATTTAGTTGAAAGGAAAGGCGGAACGGAGTACTTGGCAAATATGCACCTCATAAACATTGGTGCTATTAGCATAAGAGCTGTACTATTAGATCATTCCCCTTAATGGAGGAGGTCAAAGCAATTTGCAATGTGAGGTAACCCATGCATCGGTAATACATTTTCATTTTTCTGAAACCTTTGCTGGAAGAACAAATTCTGATTTGTTACCACAAGTCATGACAAGGTCTAATTATCTAAACAATATAGAGCAGGGCTTAAAATTTCCATTCGCCCCCTCGCAATTGGCGAGTGGAAATTAATCGGGGGAGGGGGCACCGCTGGCAGGACCAGCGGGGGTGAAACTACTGCCCACCTCAGCTTTTCATAGGCTGGGAGGAAAACTGCAGCTGCTATTGGCCGGTTGGACGTTTTTGCAGCGTGGGACCTGAAGGATACATTTTTGTATCCCCCCCCCAGCACCTGGAGAGGAAGAGGGCAGATCAGCTATGTGCACTGTAAGTCCCTGTTCTTTCTGCCTTACACCGCTGACCTCTGTACTGCGCATTACATTACTGACCTGTGTACTGCTGACCTCTGTACTGCGCATTTCATTACTGACCTCTGTACTGCGCATTTCATTACTGACCTCTGTACTGCGCATTTCATTACTGACCTCTGTACTGCGCATTTCATTACTGACCTCTGTACTGCGCATGTCATTACTGACCTCTGTACTGCTGACCTCTGTACTGTGTGTTACATTATTGACCTCTGTACTGCTTACCTCTATACTGTGCGTTTCATTACTGACCTCTGCACTGCTGATCTCTGTACTTTGCGTCACACTGCTGGCCTGCTGGAGTTAGGGTTGGAGCAGGGTAGGGGTTAGGTGGGGCAACTGGTGGCAAGTAACTCTTAAGGCCTGGCTACTAGCTCAGGGTCTGAAATTTTGAGCCCTGATATAAAGGATTATTTGATATGAGCACAAAGTATATGTTCAGGGTAAACAGTCAACGTTGATATTTTTCATTAAGTGACTTAATAACTATTGCAGTGGGGCTACCCCTGTACTGCAAGGGTTAACTGCTCTTTTTGGTCTATAGAGGAAAATAAAGGTGTACTCGCCCGATCCTCAGAGCCAGCTGGCTGTGAGAATGTATAGGACATGATGGTATGTCCCTCAGCATCCTCATGTCCTATACACTGTGTATAGAACGTGATGACTCATGGACCTTAGACCGCTGCAACGGATGAGGAACGAGGCCGGAAGGACTGGTCTAAGTGCAAGCCAGCTCAGAGGATCGGGTGAGTATAACTTTTTTATTTTCCTCCCTAGACCATAACGAGCATTTACCCTTGCAGCGGTTTTATCTTCCAGAGTCCTACTTTCTGTTTCTTCGCTTAGGCCAGGATAATGTAAGGCCGGCCACCCACTGAACTCCTGGGATGTCTAGGTCACACATCCGAGGAGGCAGGGTTTCAATGTCTCCTCACAAGATCCCATTAATATCTTTACACAGGACCTGGCAGAGACTTGTGCAGACATACCACGGGTCTCTGCCAGGTCCCATATCCTGTTACAACATGTTGGCATAAAAAAAAGAGCAAAAAGAACTTCAGCTGCAATGAAGACAATACTGGATTCTGTGGACTAATAAGTATGTTTTTTTAAATTTTCATACAAGGACAAATTATCAGAGAATTTTAAATTAGTTGAAGCTAAGTAGGGTGAAGTTCCTTTTTTAGTGAAATCTCATTGGCTGCTTTGGTAAACCGGCCTTTGTGCATCAGTGGCACTAGAAAGCTTGATACAACTATGGATCTGATATTTGGTTACTATTTAATAGTACCATCATTATAGATTTCTAACTATATCGACATTATAGAGAAAACCATTTTGTTTTTCAGTTTTCCCTCTGCATTTCTTCTTTTGTCAGTCATGAAATAAATGGGAAGTGAGGCGAAGTGAGGCGAAGTGGGAACAGAAACAGCAATAAAAAAGTTGACATTCTAACCCCAAAGTGAAGAACAGATAATCACCAGCACACAACGTATTCTCAAATACTTCTTGGATTTATTACTACTAATAAACCCCTAAAACTATTTGAGTGTGTGCTGGTGATTATCTGATCTTCACTTTGGACCTTCAAACAGCACAATCCCTGTCATCACTGCGATCACCACCAATCTTAAAGAGTGCAACGCTGTATGGGGTACAGGTGACGCTCTACACTAAACATAATAACCCTTCACCAGGGGGCATGGCCGGGATGTGAGGCAGTGCGGACGTGTCTGGAGGAGCTCCGTCGCTGCACTAAAGAGATCCGCCAAACATCCTGTCAGTTCAGCCCTATTTCCACTCACCTGAGCTCCGGTGGTGTCTGGTGCAGGGTGACATGCCCGCCAGGTCCGGCAAACGGACAGAAACTACGAAACGAGGGGGGAAAACAGCCAAGGGAGCGGCCCCACGTTTGTCCGGCGCCATCTTCTCCACGTCTCCTGTTTCCTGCCGGTGCTCCAGCTCGGCCTGTGAATTGGAGTGAGGCGCAGTGAATCCTACAGTGGCCCCATCGGAGGCTCCAGACACCGCATCTGCCCCAGGTACTGTGAAGGTGGACACAAAAACTATCCTGGAAGTTGCTAAAATTGCCCTCACTGCAAAAATAGACCATCTGGCAGTGGAATGCACGCTAATCCGCCATGATTTAGATAAAATCAGGGGCAGACTCTCACAGGCTGAGACGCGGGTGTCTGGGGTGGAAGATTCGGTGCAGGAGCATGCTAAATCCATACAGGATCTGCAACGCACAGTGAGGGTGCTGGCGGCCAAGGTGGAGGATTCAGAAAATAGGATGAGGTGGAATAATGTGCATGTGGTAGGCCTTCCTGAAGGAGCGGAGGGCACACAGCCTAATACATTTGCGGAGGCCTTCTTTAAAACCTTGCTGGGCCTGTAGGAGCTGCCCCCCTTTGTGGTGGAAAGGGCTCATAGAGTCCCCACTGGTCGTCCAGCACCTGGGATCCCTCCGAGACCTTTTCTGGTGCGCCTCCTAAATTATAGGGACCGTGATCAGATTCTGGCTGCAGCCAGGAATAATCCTGACTTTCGCCATGAGAATGCCTTGGTCCGTTTCTTTCCTGACTTCTCGGCTGAGATACAAAAGAGGAGGAGATCTTTTGTGGATATACGACGCCGCTTGAGAGAAAAAGGGATCCAGTACAGTATGATCTATCCGAGCAGACTTAGGGTACCCCATGCTGGTAAGGTCCGCATGTTCGATACCCCGACGTTGGCCGCAGAGTGATTGGACACCCTGGGGTGAGCAAGTCGCGGGTACGCTTACTTTGAAACTGAGTTACCTTCGCTTCTTGGAGGGGTTCGGCTTTCTATAACTGTTTGTTCCTGACCATTCTAACCTAATGCCTAGACTCTACTACCAGGGTATGGTGGCAGCGGATCCTGGGACTGCTCCCTGCTACTCGTTGAGTTGGGCCTAACTTTTTTCCCGTTTCTTCATAGACTATGACTGCATGGTCACTGACTCCATGACACGTGTCACAGATGAACTCCAGATCCATGGGATATCCTGGCATGTGTAATTCCACTGTACCAATAGTTTCCTACATGTTGTGCTGGCCCTGGGAAATCTCTGTTCTCCGCATACCTGAACGATGTTACCTTATGGTGTAGCGACAACTGTTAGCTCCACTGCAGCGTGGACAGACACTAGGGTTTTTATTTCTTTTTTAGGTGCCACTTTTGGGACCTTGATTCTTGGCATACCGGCGTATGCCTTAGTGCATGTCCCCGTTAGTATAAGGGGATTCACTGTTTTTTGGGGTTCTGGGATAAACTTCCCGGGGACAATGTTGTTGTTCTGTTTACCATGTAAAAATCATGACATTTGAGCAATTGAAGGTTAAATTCTGCATCCCTAACACTTTCCTGTTCCGCTATCTGCAGGTGCGTCATGATAACCCTTCACCAGACTATAAAATAAGCATTTGGCTGGAGCTGGGCTGTAGGTCAGTTTCAGTACCTGATCACTGTCTGCAGGAAGAGAGGTGAAGTCCTTGAGGCAAACATCTGTGTCCTTGGCAAGTTTATTCACAAACTGTATCTTCTGCTGTCTACAACACAAATGACAGCATCATAGGGTCAGTATGCTGCAGTGTTATTGTATCATAATATTTCCACTCCAGCACCTCGTCATCAGAGCATATTTCGCCTGAACTCAGTGGGAAAGTCTATCAAAACTTGAAAGAAAAAGCCAAAAACCTTGAACCCGCCAAATCTCATGTTTATTCAGATCTTCACATCTCCGTCACAACTATATCCCAATTCGACATCCACCTGCTAAGGCGTTTCACCCATTAGGCTTAATCAATTAAGCCCAATGGATGAAATGCGTTAAAGACAGCTGGATGTAGGACAGGTGACCGAGATGTGAAGATTTTAATAAATATGAGATTTGGCAGATACAAGGAGTGTGCCTTTTTTCTTTCAAGTTTTATGTGGAGTAAGAGCACCGATGAGCTCTCTGCAGGCACCCTTGGTGCTTCCAGCGGTGAGTGTGAATTGAAGCAGTGATATTTCCTTCAAAAGCCCATAAAAAGCTTCACAAGCTACATATGGACTTTCCACTTAAGTGAATGACACATTTACTGAGGATGAGATGCATGCACGGAGGGTGAGGTTCGGAGTGAAATGGTTTTAGAAAGGTGCTTTGTGATTAATTACAACTAGGTCACACAGCAAATATTGTCAGGAAGCTGCATTTTACGTATGTTTCGTTACCAATGTGGTGGAGTAGAGAATGGAAACTGAGGAAGGATATGTACACTAAAGGGACCATTTTTAAAACAATTCACATAGTTATTCGTCCAGTGAAACTACATTCTGTGCAAGATAACCAGCTGTTGTGGGAATGGGGCAAAGCCAAATGTTCTTAAAGTATTTTCTGTTCTGGTCAAATGTTTTTAAGAATACATATAATTTATATCAGCTGGTGCTTGCGCTCACTTGGAAATGAAATGAGCTTGTATATTATGAATAGAAAATAAATGGAAAGCAAGCCAAAATGATTTATTGATATAAGTCTCCTTCTGTTGCACTACCAATGTCAGGAGATTTGAGCAAGTTGTGAGTTGTGTACTTACAGTTGATGGCGGAGCTCTGCAGAATCATGTACAGTTCCGAGTTGATTTACTATCCTTTGTATCTCAGAAGCTGCATGGAAAGTTAATTATTAATGTAGCATGCTATTATAACATACAGCAATAACATTTAGCAATTAAACATTTATAAAGGGAAGCAATTTGACTATAACAGCAAATAATGAGAACACTAAAGTGCTATTTTAGCTTAGCTTTTAGATTTAGTTATTTTTTATCTTTATTTATTTTTTTACAGACACAGGAGAAGTATCTCTTACTAGTGATCACTGTGATTGGCTATCACAGTGATCACATGACTGGGACCCTGTCCTACCTCCTCCCGAATATAAATCTGAGACCAGGAGCTTTCTGTGACAGTGTGCCCTCTGTGCTGGGAGCACACGATCAAGCGTGCTTCCACCACAAACAAATGCCCCATATATATTTCTGTGACACCCCTATACTGTATGTGATAATGTGTGACCCCATCAGAATGGTGTTAGATTACACATGCAGTGTCACTTACTCCTGAACTCTAGTATTGTGGAATGATTATTAAAACACAGTGAACATCAGGTGTAATTCCAGCCAAACAATTTGTAAAGCTGGCCATACACCTTACAACCATCGCACGACTTTCGTCTTGCGATGGTTGTAAGGTAATTAAAAGCTTGTACGATCTGCCCATCTTGGGCAGGCAGATCGTACTTGTGATCATCGCAAGCCCTCCCGGAGTGCTTCCGATGATTCCAATGCTGAGCGGGCAGTGTGCGCTTGCGCACACCGGCACGTGAGGCATTTGTCTTACGAGCACGCCACAAACCCGCCGGAAATCGTACGATTTTCGGCTGGTTTTCAACGTGCTCGTAAGACAAAAGATGTGCAACCGTACAGTAGAAACGGTCGCAAGCCTTCCATACACCTGCCGATTATCGTACGATAATCGGCAGGTGTATGAGCACCTTAAGGGTTTAAACCTTTGTCAGGTTTGTTGCTGCCTGACAAAGGTTTCAAGTATAGATCTATACTTCATGACCCAATGGGAACACAAGTAGCAATAAAAACCCAACAGAGCCTTGAGCCCTTGTCCTTTTAATACAAAAGGTGTTTTATTTGCAGTCTGTGCCCATGGAGAGACTGCCCTTGCTGGGACAGATAATGATGGAGGTACTCCTCAATAGGAACAAGGATAAAACAATAACAATAGAACAGATGGTATAATTTTGCCAACTCTAGTCACAAAGATACTTTGGCTGGAGTTTCAGATCGTCAGTCTGCCCAGCAATGAAGAGGAAGGGAGGCACTTATGTGTTAAGCTGGTCATACACCAGAAGAATTTCCTTTGAACGCTCACAGAGAAATTCAGAAACAACCTTTATTGCAGCATTCAATGGTACCATCATCGACTCGAAAAATGTCATACATTTTGTTCGATTGCCACGCCATGTATTGAATTCTAACATTTTGAGAGACACGAAAGTAATGAAATGCTAAATCCATTTACACATTTATAATTACCTAGCACAGGCATCATCAATGAGGAAGATGCTAAACGTTACGGCTGGAAGCCAAATTCACAGTTAGAATTTTGTTTGTTCAGATAAGTATCGAGAAAATCCTTCTCCTTCAATTGTTTGTCTCACTATGGCTGAAAACGATTGTTGATTTGTCCCCAATAACTTTGTCAATCAAATTAAGGTTCTAACAAAACTCTACTGATGTTTGGCCAGCCTAAACGGGAACTTTACCCTTAACTTTGAAATGACAACAAAGGCACCTTTAGAAAGGTTTAGTAATGGCCAACTACAAACAGATACTTATAGATAATTGCTGGCTTTTTATTCTTTACCTTATTTGTCTTTTCCTCCTCATTCTTCTTACAGCGGCCATTGATACTAAGGGCAGATTAATCCATATTCCTTTACTTACAGGAACTCTGGCACATGTGACTAGGACACGTGACCATGCACATCATTTCAGGGGGGAAAATGGCTTTCCCTGAAATTTCACGAGCATTTGCAGTTTATAGATGAGATTTCCTAGCAATGCTCTGCTGATGTAACCTTCCCAGGATGCATCGCTTGGGCACATTACATCGCTAGGGCACATTACATCGCTAATGCCCATGTGGACCAGGGAGTGGAAAATCAGTAATTGTAAGTAAAAGCAAAAAAAATTTAACTACCGAATGCAAGATGATTTCATATCAGCATGCAGAGCTGCATGCTGATGTGACTTTTAGAGAAAAGGGTAAAGGCCCGATTTAAGGGGTTATATACACGGGCGCCCGGATCTTTACATCTGTGGGGGGGCATGTTTATGTGCCTGGAGAGGCACAGGTGTTAAAATCAATGACAGGTGCAGTTGTATGGATCTTCACACACATCCTAGTGTTTACACCCGTACAGGGACAGATGCACAGCACCAGATGCAGTCTGTCTGCATCCAGAGCCATGCATCCATCGCTGTACGGAAGTAAACACTGGGGTGTAAGTGAAAATCAGTGTAGCCGCAGTCAGTCATTTATTTTAGCAGACGGCTGCACAGAACACTTATGCCTCCACAGGCGCATAAACACTCTCCTCTGCACAGATATACTAATACATGTCCATGTGTCTGACCTATAAAGTGGGCATCTCTAAAGGGAAAGAAGACCCATGAGGTTACAACAAGCAAACAAAAGGCTATGACGTACTGCTTTGTGTTATCTTCTGGATGTTCGATGATATGATCTGCGCAAGCTGCATGGGATCTCTTGTATCAAAAGCCATGGCTGTTTTGTAACCGCGATCTTGTGAACATCAAAAATGTAATACCACCTGAAAAGAAGAAAAAAAAAAGAGGACATGCAAAACAAATGAATACAGGATCACAGCAACACTGCAATAATTTGCAGTCTAGAAGTAGATTTGCAATTTTAAAATGTTGCAATAACAAAACAGAGACCACTTGAAGAGTGAAGTAACAGGAACATAGCTACACACGTTTCTTTTTTTCATCACATTTCCAAACATATGTATGGTCACTTGGGGCTATTTGGGTGTCCAAACTATGACAGGATGTCCACCACTGCCTATTGCTGTTATTATAAAAACATGGTGTTAGACATTGCTGGTTTTCTTTTTTAAATTTGCTTAGTTGTTTGGCTGTCACAACCACCCCATAGCTCTTCCACCAAGTGATTCACCTAACTGAGCGAGCTTGCAGCCACTGAATCACAAATCTGAGTCTGCATGTTTGTTTTAGGTCACAGACTCACTAAATAGTGAAGTATAATGATAAACATCACAATCAGGGAATTAACAACTTCTAGAAAAAAAAAGGCAACAAAGGATTTTCTATATCTCTATCTCAGGTCAGATGTCAAAGTTAGTAGTTCAAACCCTGCTACAGGCACAATGTGAAAATGTGCAGAATGCACACAACCAAAACGATGGTTAAGTCAGCCATAAAGTCGGAGTTGTGCTCCTACTGGGACAAGAGAATTATTACTAACAAGGAACTGCATTAAGGCAACATCCCAACCATTAGGGATGAGCTCAGGTTCAAAAGGAACCCAGTCCAAAACCCGAGCTGCTCTCAACCTGGAAGAGAATTGGGGCCACCTGCCCAATCAGCTACAGGCTGCGGCTTTCCTCACCCCGCAACTGCACATGAACAAAGGGATGGGATGTCACATACCCATATTAGGTCAATGTCATTGTCCAAATATGGCCATGTTTGGCCTTGCAAGGTCAATGATTTCACAGCATCCTACCCCCCTTGCTTACGTGCAGCTAGGGCAAGGAGTACCCTGGCTGCAGCCGATTGGGTGGCAGAACAAGGAGCGTCCTTTTCGTGTTCGGAGGAACTCAAGTCTGGACCTGGTTTAAAGGAGAACTATGAGGTGAGTGCTTTTCACTCACCTCATATTTCTAGCCGACCTGTGGACAATTAGACTGTCACAGGTCGGCTCAGTAGATCGGGAGGTGAGCGAACACATACCGTCGTTCGCTCACCACTCGATTCTGTCACGGCAGAGGCTGGATTCCCCCCTCCGATCCGCCAGCGCTGACTGGCGGAACGGACGAGGGAGGGGGCGGGTACAGCTGGCTCTGCCTCTAGGTAGGCAGAGCCAGCTGTCAGTCACACAGCTGGGCAGATCCCGGCACAATTGTCGGGATCCGCTTCAGCATCTCAGTATACCGCGAGCAGCAGCTCGCGGTATACTGAGGCGTCTCAGTAGCTCGCGGTATACTGAGCCTAGGGTGACGGGAGGATGCTAGTTTGTGTCCTCCCGTTACCCTAAGGAGAACTATGGGGAAAAGCCTTAACCCCATAGTTCTCCTTTAATCTGAACCTAAACTCATTCCTGCCCACCATAATGTAAACAGTAGCAGCAATGGGTTGTCAGCAGTCACAGAAGCCTTTTGTAAACCATGAAGGGATCTTCTATGTGTGGTTTATGTTATCGGTGGCCAATAAGAATGGCTGTGGTTTTGCCATCTGTTGTGGAATCAGACGTTCATCCTAGCGGATTCACACAAAGATACATGAGCTCTTTTTTTGGAGCATAATCAGGCGTTTTTGGCCCCATAGACCTCAATGGGAGCTCCTCAGAAGTCCAGTTCATACCCCAAGTGATTTGAACCCCATTTACAAGCTTCACCAGAAGCGCTTTAATGCTCGACGTTACAATTTCCATTATATTCAAGGGTGTCTATTCACACCTGAGCGTAATGTCTCTTGAAGTGCGTTGCTCAAAAAAGTACATGAGTTTCTATTGGGGGAACATGATCTATAATATAAAAATCACCTGCACTCCATACAGCATACAGACCTTAAGAGGTTGGTGCTTGAAGTGACAACACGGATGGCGTCGTGTACAGTCCATAATAGAAGTCACCAGCACTCGATGATATGCGCAAGAAGTAAAGCACTTTTTATTTAATCGTCACATGCGTCAAACAGCCAACGCTTCGGGGCCACGCAGGGTCCCTTCTTCCGGGCGACATAGTGATTTACTTCTTGCACATATCATCGAGTGCTGGTGACTTCTATTATGGTCTATTGGGGAAGAGCCACGCTTTTTGACCGAAACAGATGCCAATGGGAATGCTTGTTTTTTCATCTATAGTAATTTCGATTTCCGATGGCTAAAAATAATAAACCAATGCTTGGTGTTCTGTGTTGGCTCTGTGACATCTCAGATAGCAAGGATAACTTGCCACAAACTTGCGGCAGGGTTAAACTGTAATTCTTGTTAAACTTTTTGAATTTGTAGCAACAGTCCTGCAGGTTTTAGCAAGAGCTCAGCAAGTGTACAGCACTTTTCCAAAGCACGTTGATCTGGAGACTTGCAATGCAGACTTGCTGTAATTGTGCAACAAAATTGTGAAGCTTGGCAAGCCTAGCAATAGTTTAGCTAGTCGTTTTCAAACTTGCAGCTCAATTGCTTGCTATCTGGGATATAGCGGAGGTGCTTGGAACGTCCCAGCTACAACAACTGACTGGGCCGGGAGAGAGGTGCGTCAGTCACTTTTGAACGGGCGTGGACACACTTTGATGAACTGGGTTCGCACCAAGCCCCCGCGAGTTAGCCCAAGCCTGTTTAAAACTGTGAGTGACCCCCCCCCCCCAAATCAGTCGCGGCAGCACATTCCCTGCCGCTAACCATCACGCAGAGGTGGGCGGAATGCACCCGCCAGAACTGACACCATTGATTGGGCCAGGAAGGTGGGTTCTGAGCAGGCTTGAACAAACTTAGGCAAGCTGGGTTCACACCAAACCCAGGCTCTTAACTAATAATATATTTTTTTTAAATGCTTAAGCCTGAATGATGCACAAAAACATGCACAAACACTCATCTAAATGTTCCAAACAACATCCAGATGCGCTCAGCTTAAAGATAAATGGGGCCTAACATGCGTTTTCGCTAATTTTTGCACTTTAAGAACCGCTTTCCATTGTCCAAAACAACCACCCCCCTCAAAGCTTAAATACATACACAAGCAAACACTAGTGATACGCTTCACAAACGTACATTTACGCGTGCAAAACACAAACACGTCTGCAAATCGCTGCACTCTGGTGCATCTGCTACAGGGAAATGAAGTCTGGGAAGGAATAGCACCCATCACGTGACCAGCCTGGATTTCCTGCCCAGTGCGGAGACTCCCTCTCAGTACACTGCACACAACTGGAATGTGCAGCTTTGTGATAGTTACCAATCACCGGTCATGTGATCCCTACTAACCCTTCTGACACCATCAATCTACCACAATGGATAACAGCTATCGAGTCTGCAATGACGGACATTACACACGGAGATCACAATGTATAGAAGTGAATACTTGTGGCGTGATCGGAAGACTGTTTGTGTGAGAGGATCCGAGGATTGGGTTCACATCAGAAACTGTATTTCCTACACAGCAATCGGGATTCGGGACACTGACACCTAGATCGAGCGATTCCCTGCGTGTTGATCGAAGCCTGAGCCCCCCTCCCCACCCATTACAGTGCAATGCAATCTCATACCTGGCAATCTCCGCGGCCTCGGTCTGCTCCTCACAGCCCAGTGACAGGCAGCGCATACTCAGTGTGACTGGAGAGGAGGGGCGGGAAGCTGCTCAGTGTGCTCTGCATGAGGCAACTTCTGTGATAATGCCTGACGGTATAGTGAGTGTGAGCTAGAACCATTCTCAGGCAGGCAGAAATGAAAGTATTTGCTGTCACATGTTTACACAAGTCCATCCAGTTCTACCAGAAAAAAGAAAACAAATATGTAATCACTGTGGTAATCTTGGTTGCTTCAACTCTGCCGCATTTCCAAAATGCGCCTCTTTATAACAAATGAGTAAAGCAAAACAAACGACAAACGCACTCAGCAATTTGTTACCAGTTATACAGTAAGGTGCACACGAAATGGGCTTTGAACTACTCTCACTACTACTCACTACTCTTTATAACAAATGGTACCACAAAGCTTCTAATTCACTCTCACCGTGACTATTGCAGCTCCCTATTAGGGCTAGTTTACACCAGATGCAAGCCGTTCAGTTTTGCAGCTGCATCCAAATCGCGTCCCAATGCAGTCCAATTGGATTTCTGGTGCTATGTTCACACCAGTGCACTCAGGAAAAATACTGCTGGCCTCATTTTAGCTGCATCGGAACGCATGCCTAATAAGGCATCCAAAATGGAAAAAAAAAACATGAATTTCAGGTCAGAGAATTCCCCCGGCCGCAGCTGAGGGAAGGGGTGTGTCACTGATAGTTTTGTGTAGGCCCAGGTGGACTCAGTTTGCACCATGCCCACGCACATCACTACATTTACACAGGCTGTCATGAATGAGGCCGCCAGATTTATTCACCTTACCAGCCCCTCAATGGATGCCACTGCTCACTGCCAATCCCTCTACTGGCTCCCACTCGCCCAACAAATACTCACATCCTCTGGAACTCCCTATCCCAAACTGTCTGGGTATCCGCTACTCTGCCGTTAGGGCCCCTTCCACATGGGCGCCTTCAGTTCTGATCAGCAGGGCCGGATTTACTCTCTCTGCTACACCAATGCGCCCCCCCCATGGAGAATGGCAGAACTGCAGGCTGCTATGTCTCCAAGATCACTTGTACAAAACAAGTGTTGGCTTCCCCGCTTTACATTTAGCCCTGCTTGCCCAAAGCAGGGCTAAATGTTGAAAACAACTACCCGCCCAGCACCCGGAAATGCATGTCCCGGGCATCGGGAGGTAGGAATTTCACACCCCTGCTGCTCTACTCTCTGCTGCCCCAAGGCCGGGCCTTGGTTGGCCTTGTGGGAAATCCGGCCCTGCTGATCAGCACAGAATCTGTGCACCAATCGCCTGCTGATCGGAATGGATGTCATTGTTGTGACGTCCACGTCTCTCCAGTTTTTCCCTCCATCACTGAAATTACCGGACCCAAGCTAGTCTATGGGGAGCAGACATTACAAGTGATTACCCCAATCCGCGACGATCTGCTCTCCTGATACAGAACTCTAATCCGTTTTTTGGCAGAATTTGGGGGTAATCAAATGTAAATAGACGTGCGTCCGTTTATTTCTAGCTGCACATATAATAACACTGGGCTTCCAATCAGATCCGCCAAGAGTGATGCCGCCCTCTGCATCTCCACCTGGCTCTTAACAGCCAGGGACTCTCTGGCAGGTGAAGCCTCTGGTTGCCAGGGGCTGGGCAGGATGCCAGCAGGGGCGTATCCACCGCAATGCAAATAAGGTGTTTGCCTTGGGTGGAATGCCAGGGGTGGGGCGCAAAACGCCGCCCCAAATCAGTGCGACAAGCCATGCTGCACAGATTCAGACAGCCTCGCCTGCCTAATCAAGCATATTAGATGGACGCTCGTTGGGTCTCGCGTCCGCCTAATACACCTGAGAGAGCTGCCGGGTGGAGGAGGCGCCGAGGTGGGATCGGAGGAGGGGCCGAGGTGGGATCGGAGGAGGGGCCGAGGTGGGATCGGAGACGGGATGGAGGAGGGGCCGAGGTGGGAACAGAGGCTAAGCAGGGGCTAGGCTGAGTGAGATGCAGCCTGGCCCGGCTTAGCTGTGGGCGGCTCAGGGCTGCCCATACCCCACCATCTGACGGAGGCATGACCCGGAGGCAGGCTTGGGGGCTTCAGGTAAGAGGAGCAGCACCTGTGTGCAGGGAAAGGGACCCTGCAAAGCCCACCATAGATTCTGCACAGCCCACCTGATAGTCCCAGGTGGGCTGTGCGGGGTTTTGGTGGGCTCTGTGGTGTTTCAGGTGGGATATGCGGGGTCTATAGTGGGCTGTGGGGGGATCTACGAGGTCTTAGGTGGGGTCTGTGGTGGGCTCTACAAGGTCTCAGGTGGGGTCTCAGGCTGACACCCTGCAGAGCCCACAAGAGATCCTTTACAGCCCCCCTGAGACCCCGGCTTCCCTGCTACGATACTAACGCAACCTGTCAGAAGCTAGATACAGCATGCATGCTGTATCCAGCGACTGACAGGTTACGCAAAATTTCTGAAACAGGAAAGGGTGGGGCAAATTTAGATTAGGGGTTGGCCATATGTAGTCTTGCCTAGGTCAGCACAAAACCTAAATACACCACCGGATGCTGGCCAGGGCATCCCAGGTTGCTAAGAGCTGGGAGGGGAGATGTGTATGGCCCTTACATGGAGGTCCACATAGTATGCACAGTTATATTTTTATTAAAAACATTAGCAACTATGATTTATTTTCTTAAATTTACACTGCCATTTATAAAAAAATGCTACATAAAATGACTTTACTGGCGTACCCTGACAAAGTTACATCTTTAACAGAACAACTTCTTACCTGTGACCCTTTCCAGACTGTTGCAGCAGTGAAGCGGCTTGCCTTGATTTACTTGCGTAGGCTTGTGCAGTGATGCATATTGCATAAAAGGGAACAGATACTTTTCATTTTAAACACATTTCCCTTTTTCTCCTAATAAGGTTTTTTGTTTTTTTAATAAGGGAAATTTGTAAATGATGCACATTGTTTTTTATGTAAACGGTCTGAATTTATACTTATCTATATCTATAGTACATATAGTCGAAAATTAAATATGTATTTCTATATTAAAGTTCTGTCCCACTCCTAAAAACCATATCAATCTAGGACAAGGGTCGGCAACTCCGGCCCTCTAGCTGTTGTCTGTCCCATAAGCAGGGTTGTCCCTACGCTGAGGGGAGATGGATGCGTGTTCTGCCAGTGTATCATCGTTCCAGGGGGGTTGGGATATCAGCTAATGGTTGTTACGGGTGGGGGAGGAATGTGTTCTAACAGGTAATGGTTTTTCCGGGGGGTGCGCTGTCAGCGGCTCTGTCCAGCATCCCATCCAAGCTCACCGATGTCACCGGTTGCCAAGAGCTCGGCGGGATGCCAGCCAAAGCATCTTGCTTAGCTCCTGCCAACCGGTGATGTCAGTGAGCTGGGCAGGAAGCCGGGCAGAATGCCACAGGTATAAGACCTGTCAATGCTGATGTTATAGCAGGATAGTATAGGCTGGGATTTTAGAACTCCTTTAAGATGGCCACACAAACAGGATTAGAAGCTACCTATTTAAATTCAAAAGCAAACTCTTGTTTTATATTGCTATATATCTTATATCACTTACTGTATATGCATAGTGACACACGACAGGTCTCCCTTCTCCACACTACTTTCTAAAAGTTGAACTCCCAGCAAAATGCAAGATTTGACTGTTTTTGTAATTAGCAGCCAGGTAGCATAGCCAGGGATGAATTGAGCTGACACCTGCCTGTACCCCAATATTGTGAAACCCCCTCCACTGCACTCTGACACTCTGTGCTTCCAAATAATCTGTAACCCCCCTCCCCTGACACTCCAATAATAATTGTTAATTAATAAAGTATTAATATAAATTAATAATTAATTAATAAAAGATAATGATAACAGATTTTTATGGTGCAGGGGAGGGGGGTTACATATTGTTGGGTTACCGGCATTACTGGGCAGTGCTAAGTGTCAGGGTGCATGGGAGTGGGTTATGCATTATTGGGGCACAGGCATTATTGCGCAGTGCAGAGTGTCAGAGTGCAGGGGAGGGGTTTCCACATTATTGGGATAAGGCATTATTGGGCATTCCAGAGTATCAGGGTGCAGGGGAGGGGGTTACACAATACTGGGGTAGGGGGGCACAATACTGGCCTTGCCCCAGGTGTGGACAACCCACACTACGCCACTGCTTATATGATAAGAGATCATTCAGTATTTGGACTGGAAATCATTTGTGCCATCTGTTTTTGAAAATTTAGAAGTTCCTTTTTT